GTATGTTGAAATCTTTGTGAGTCTTCCTTCTGGCTCGTACATCAGTGCTTGTGGTTGCCAGCTATTCAAAAATATCCTTGTATTGAAAACTTCTTTTTATCTAATTTAGTGGGGGAGAGAAAATAAAAAATCAAACCAAACCAAACAAAACCAAGCAAAACAATTTGCCTCTGAGATCAAGACAGAAAAAGATGTTTATTTTTTTTTTTTTGAAATTGTGGTCTAAAAAAATTTTTTTAACAACTGTATTAAAGCTCTTAGGTAAGCTTCTTTATATTGCAATAAACAAGTACTTATATGCAAGAAAATCTCAGCAAAATACATTGCACAGGTGCTACGCATCTTAGGGATTTGAAAGGTGTGTTATGTATAAATTAGCTGTCACTTTTTTTCAATCCTGTAATGGAATGATGAGTTGTAATTTGCATAATCCTTTAAGAAGTCAAATTATACTGTCATGTAGCAGACTTAACATGCTAGCTAAGATTTCAGAGCTTTGCAGCTAATTACTATGTACCTTACAGGACAGTTAAATTGAAGTTGAGTCCTCTGTCTTTGCTGCCATTTGCTTTGTCCATTACTTAACAGAATCTGCTCTTTGGGTAACGAGGTGTTGTTACTATCACTGAAGTAAACACTCTGCTCTGGAGAGGAAATGGCATTTTAATATATCACCAGTTTGACTTGTATTGCTTTTGCTGTGAAGAAAGTTTTTTTTTTTTTTTTCAAAAACAGTAATCTGGTTGGAATTCTTCCCCCAAAAGATGATATGTATACTTTCCAGAAAAGTTATGAATATTGATTGAAGCAACATTAACCTTTAATTAAATTCTTCTATAGAAAATGTAAAGTAATGTAAACATAATTCCACTGAAGGCATTATTTTTTCTGGATATACTTTGCAAATATACTTTGTTGTGTTTTTGTCTTCATACTCTGAACTTCTTTTGTAGTAGTGTCACTATTGAATAAAAGTACCACTTTTTTCCTTAAAAATCCTTTCTGAATGCAAGCTGGTGAGTCCTACTTTCATGTACTCCTCCAACTGGTTGTAGAGCACTTCCTTTCATGGTTTCCATTTTTAAAAAGATCAGAAATTCTGGTGGCTGTGAAGGCTGCTCTCTGAAATAGACACAAAACGGATACGGGATGAAACTGGGACTGTTCCCTGCCTCGCATGGTTTAGGTGACTATATCACTGTACCTTATCTACATACATGTAGTTATCTTTGGCTTTATTTCTTGATATCTCACTATCTAGATATCAGAACTGGTGTAATCATGATGCAAAATTGTTACTGATGATCATTTTTAAAAAGTATTTATCTGTGAGTCATTTATTGTGGCTCTTGGTGGCCAGGTTTTTGTAATTTATTAGTGATTTTATGGCTTTCTTGTGATTCATGTATACTTTGAAGAATCCTTTTGTTGTATAGGAACGGGGTCCTTTAAGGACCATATAAAAGCAGCATTTGATTACTGACCATTCAAATAAGTGCAGATCAATAATCAACTGTTGTTTATTTATAATTAAGCCAGTTTCGTGTGTCTGAAATTACTATTGGCTTAGAGACTGAGATTTGTCAATTAGGAGCCCAAATGAGGCCACCAGGAATTTGGCGCATAGTAAGGCTTTCCTTCTGCTGTAGGAATCATCTCAAAGTCTTGCTTTTTAAAGAATTGGTGTTATTTGTAGTCAAGGTAGACACAGTAGGCAGCACAGCTGTGACTGCCAGGGAAAGTCACTAGGGGGATATTCATAACAAGGAAATATTGGCAAATAAATGATGAAGAAGGGGAGGAAATCCCCAAGATGTTAAATTGGAGCACTGTCACTGAGATGATTAATGGTGTTGTGTATTTTAGTGAAGATGCTTATCTGAATTGTCTTGAAACTATAGTGTACATTTAATAGCACCTATAAAAAAGCATGTGGTACACAAGCACACTGAAGAGAAAAGGCTGTGGATTCCAATTTTATTTTCCTATTTTCTCTAACTACGTTTTTGGCTTCTGGTTATTAGAAAGCTAGTGTTAATGTATATTATATACGGAGTATGTTTATTCTATATAATATACTTATTATTCATGAGCATTTATATAGCTATTTTCCCTAGAAGATTTAAATTTATTGCAAAAAGCATGAGCAGTTTTTCCACACTCTCGAGGTGAATATTATCAAGAGCAGGGAGATGTAGGCAAATAGTCAGGGTCACATGGCCACAGTGAGTAAAGGGCTACACTTTCATCAGTGATGGAGTCAATACAATTTTACAAACACTTCTACATCAATTTCTGGTAAAGGGGTAGCTGTTTTGGAAGATCCTCTAGCTTTTCCTGTCAAGCCATAAATTTTCTGATTCTGTGGTGTGAATTATCACTTGCCTGGAGGGATTGTTATCCCTGAAAGCAGATGCATCTTTGGGCAAGTTACTTAACGTCCTTGGGCCTCAATAATTACTACTAGATTTAGGAGTAGATACAGACAAATGACATATCATCCTATCTTCAATGAGCTTATAGTCTATTACAGCCACGTTTTTCTATCTCTGGGTTACTATTCAAATAGTTGGATATGAATCCAATTCAGTGGATCAAGATCCTAATTTTAGAAATGAAATAGAAGAGAATGGAAAAATTTATTGCATTGCATTTTAGTAAGAATGTTTCTTATTTTGTGAGGCTCCTGTTTTAGTTTCCTATTTGTGTATGTGTATGTATAACTACACATATGTGTATACTGGGTAGATCATGAGGTAATATGTGTTTCTACTGTGTTTCATATCGAAAAAGAATGGAAGCCACCATAATAGAGTTGAGTAGGTAAATGTATAAACAGAATAATGTATAGATGTTGTCACTTTGTGTTTAGGGAACACTGGATTATAAAGAAAGAAATGGTCAGTCTTATGAAAAGCATTCAGGAATGAGGAGGCTACACTGTTTGGTCTCTCATATTCAGGAATGTGCTGGAGCCAACTTGGATGTGTTTGTGAGAGGCAATTGTATGCACCTCTTTCTCACTTTGTTATTTCTGGCCTCACGTTAGTAACTTGAAGTTGGAGAAAGTATTTGCACCATGGAAATTGGAAAATATTGCAATTCTGGTGCTTTCTAAGCCCTGAGTGATTGTTAAACATTTACCAGCATATTGTTGCTCATATTTGTTCCAACTATGGTTTTATAATTACTGTGAATTATATATTTAAAAACATTATTTTCTATGTTGCACTTAGATTTTATTGGTAATTATTTAAGTGATTAGACAGTTGTTTCAATAATGAAAGTTTAAAGCAAGCAGGAATATAAAACCTGTGATTAATAGTTTTAAAGGTTAAAATAATATAGTTAAAATAATAGTAATAGTTACAGTCTAACTTCTTATGTTAAATGCTTATGATACTTTCAATTTAAAATTTCAAGGTTCATTGGTGATATCAGGTTTTTGGTAAAGGATAGGTATATAGTGTTTTTAAAACATATATGTCATATCGTAAATATTTTTCAAATTGTATCTTTTTAAGTTAGGCAGTTATCTTGTTAAGTATTAAAAATTTGGGGTCTCAGACCCCTCCTCTCCTTTTCAGCTGTCTTTTATAATTTACAGTAATGTCTCTGTTTTAGCAAACACATTTGTAAAATAGTGGATTTGACTGGAAGATGCAAAAGTTCTTTTCAAATTAAAACAGTAGTCAACCTTATAAAAATATTTTCAAATATAAAAGTAAAAGTAGCATAGGTAATCTAAAAGGGAGAGGGAGAAAAGACACCCTCTCTGTAACAACTATAACTTTGAATTTTATTTTTATTGTTTTTTATTTAGAGACAGGGTCTTGGTCTCTTGCCTAGGCGGTGGTGCAATCATGCTCACTGCAACCTCGAACTCCTACTCCTGAGTAGCTAAGACTATAGGTGCATGCCACCCTGTCTGCCTTTTTTTTTTTAAAGTAGAAGACAAGGTCTTACTATGTTACCCAGGTGGGTCTCGAACTCCTGAGCTCAAGCCATCCTCCCGCCTCAGTCTCTAAAAGTACTGAATTCCTGGATTGAACTTGAAAGAAAATATTCATGGGTATGAGATGGAATAGTAGTAATAAGTTCAGAGGAAGTCACCTAAGTTAAGAAGGATATTAGATAGTGAGGAAAGATAAATAGGAAAGAGTCAGCTGACCTAGGTGTTTGTAACCTCAAAACTTAAGTTGCAGTTCAGCCATATAGTTGGACACTGCCATAGAGGGATTGAAAGCTTTGTTCAAGAACAATCCATTCACCAGTATTTAGAAAAGATGGAGTCAGTCTGAGACTGCAGCTTCAATTACTAATGTTTATTGAGCACGTGCTATGCAATTGTAATAGGCGTGGCAGTACCTATTTTATACAGAGGGGTTTAATCCAGGATTCTTAGACTCCAAGTGTAACCAAGATTGAGAAGCCCTGTTTGAGAAGGTGTTTGTAGTGGGTTTAGATAGTTGTCATTGAAAGCAGAAGAGGCATTGGCAAAATTGTAAAGTTTGTCTTTTACTGTCTTTTCCATCCCTTGGAACCCCACCCTTTTCCAAGCCCCCTTTTCACCTTTGTGAAAATCATTCCGCCTGGACACCCGGTTAGTGTTTGAAACCTGTGCCTCGTTGGCATGGAGTTGTGATTGCCTCTGTCCCTCACTGCAGATCAAGTGTTGTTTAACTGACAAAGTCACTGTTCTCAGGATGATTTGCCTTTACATAAGCAACTCCAGGTGAGCAAATTCGAGAGAATTGGTAGTTTTCTTCAATAGAATAATTTCAGACACCTTGACAGGTCTTGCAGAAATTCATTTGGGGCTAGAGGAAAGTTTCTTTCTTCCCTGAAAATACAAATCCAGAATGTGCGTATTCTACTCAGTATAGCGTTAAGGCTGGCCTTGGCCAAGAAGCATAGATTTGAATTCACACCCAAAAGAGTGGAATTAACAAGGTACAGGGAAGAGAAGAGGAGAATGAGTGAAGAAGAGGGGAATGTGC